CCCCCTCAGAAGGGCAACATGGGGCCAACACCTTCGTAAAATCAATGATTTTGGCTTGAAAGAAGAGGGGAGCTTTAATTAGCGCTGCCCCCTCAGAAGGCCAAAGTGGGGCCAACACCGTAGTAAAATCAATGATTTTGGCTTCAAAGAAGAGGGGTGCATTTTTCTGCCTCCCCCCGTCGGGGCCAGAATCCTCGTGAGGGGTGTCGAATTTTAGCCTTCCCAGGAGTCGAAGAAGACCCCTCCAACCACCTGCGGGGCGCCCTCTCCAGGCCCAAGGGGAGGGGGTAGGGGGAGGGGTAAACCCCTCCCCGAAGGGGAAGAAGGGGGTCGAGAACAGAGCGGGCTCTCTAAACCACTCACGCCCAAAGGGCTGGTGGGATTATCGTCATTTGTTTTTTGGTTTGCTTTCTTGGTGTCGTAAGCATGGGTGGGGTGACGGGGGTCTTTTTGATGTTGTTTTGGTTGGTGGTGGTTGCACCTGGTGTTTTCCATACTGATTCCTTATGGTTTCTTGCTGTTGTTTTGTGTTCTTGTGTTTTTTTTGCTCCGGGTGTATCTGTTCGTTGCTGAGGAGGGAGACGGAAGAGGAGATGTAGGAGAAAGGTGTACGATGAGGAAGGAGTTTACATTGCCTGCCTTTTGTGTACAGGTAAAATGGGAAACGAGCGCCAAATTGTTTGTTAAAGTTATCTTGGTGTTGTAGGCATGGGTAGGGTGACGGGGGACGTTTTGATGTTGTTTTGGTTGGCGGTGGTTGCACTATATATACACTGTTCCCCGATGGTTTCTTGATGATGGTTTCAGTTATTGTGTGTTTTTGGCTCTGGGGGAATCTGTTTGTTGTTGAGGGAGACGGGGGAGGACATGTAGGAGGAAGGGGTATGCTTAGGAAGGGGTTTGCACTGCTTGCTTTTTGGTGTAATTGTAAGGGGAAAATAACGCCATGTTTTTTTTTAGTTTTCTTGGTGTTGTCGTCATGGGTCGGTTGACAGGGGTCGTTTTGATGTTGTTTTTGTTGGTGGTGGTTGCACGTGTTTTTTTTATATATATATAATATATATATATATATATATATATATTGTTTCCATATGGTTTCTGGCTGTTGTTTTCTGTTATTGTCTGTTTGTGGCTCCGGGGGTATCTGTTTGTTTTTGCGCAGGGAGACGGAGGGGGAGATGTAGGAAAAAGGGGTACGATGAGGAGTTTACACTGCTTGCCCTTTTGTGGATTGGTAAGGGGAAGCTAACGCCTGCTCCATCCTTTATGGCAGCATTGGGGCCCTCATGGGTAGTCTTGGGGCCATCGTAGGCAGTCTTGGGGCCATCGTAGGCAGTCTTGGGGCCACCTTGGGTTATTCTAAGGCTTCATATGTTGTCTTGGATCCATCACATTGTCTTGGGGCCATCACAGGCAGTCTTGGGGCCATCCTAGTGTGTTGAGGCCATTACATATTGTCTCTGGGTCATCGCAACCACTTTTGGGACCAGCACAGGTTGCATTGGGGCGTTTATTCGCACTTCCGCGGGCATCATCGGTAGTCTCGGGGCCTCGGCTGTCATGGGGGTATTTGATAGTGAGAGCGACAGCGTCCTAACGGACGACGGGCCCGTCCCAAGGGATTGCCCCCCTTCGATTCCAGTCCTAACGGAGACAGAACGTCCTGCCGCCCTATTCGTATCGTTGTCATTGCTCGTTGCTGCCATTGTGGTTCAAAGGAATCCTGCCTGTCCCCTCGTGGTGAAGGCATGGATACGCCATCTGCCACTCTCTCCCGCCAGCGCGCAGTCTTGGGGACAGCATAGGTTGTCTCGGGGTATGTATTGGCACTTCCGCGCGCATCATCGGGAGTCTTGGAGCCTCGGCTGTCATGCGGCCACTTGAGAGTGAGATTGAGAGCGCCCCGACGAACGATGGGCTGTTCCAAGGGACGGCCTCTTTGATTTCTTGTAGTCTGCGAGTCCGCTTCTGGCGGAGACTGAACGTCCTAACGGACGGTTTCATCCTCTTTTCCTCGATTTCCTTGTTGCCTTCGCCAACCAGTCCGTCTTGCCGCCCCCCATCAGTGCGCTTGCTGCTATTCTTGCCGCCCATGAGTTCACGAGCGAGAGCGTCCGAACGGGCGATAGGGCGCCCCCAGGGACGGCCACTTTGATTTCTTTGCGTATTCGATTCCAGTCCTAATGAAGACAGAACGTCCTAACGGATGCTTCTTTCTCTCCTCCCCGATTTCCATGTGCCTTCGCCAAGTGGTCGTCTTGCAGCTCTGTCATCAGCGTGGAATCGGATGCATGCGCCCCACGTTGCGTTGAATGCGACGTCTGCCTCACGAACGGATGGTCGACGACAGACAGCAAAGAGCCATCAGGGTTCCATTCAGCCCGGACGCCTTGATGATCTCATTGGGCGGGACGGGCTTTTCAGAATTCCCTTCAGTTTGGGCGCCTTGATAATCTCTTTGGGCGCTCCTCTGGATCCTCGTTGGCATGCCTTCCACGGCGACGACGACGGCGGCGACAGACGAGACGACGGCGGGCGGCGGCGGCGGCAATGACCCAGTCGTCTTGACGGACGGCGACCCGGCGACGACGAAGACGACGCAAAACACCCCAACAGACAAAAAGAAACGAGTGGGCCCTCCCGATTATCGTCGTCGTACGACTAAGATTGGTTCAGGCACATCTGCGGCTGCGCGACACATGCCCGTCCGTCGTTGTTCTCCCCCATGCCGAAAGGCTCGCATGTGCTGCCCCGCCTCGATACTCTGGAAGATGCGATGGCGCGGATTGGGGATATCGGCCGCAAGTGGAGAGAGCGTGTAAAGGCTCTTGACAAGGATACTCTGCGACGCCTGGCTGCCGTGCTGGAGGTCAAAAGCACAGCAGGCACCACGATCGAACAGCTCGCGGAGAGCATCTGCCCGAAGGCCGGGACGCCGCTGCAGAAAGCGAAGGAGAGGCCCCCACCAGAGGCACAGGAGTCCGTTCAGACGCCGGCCAAGGCCGCTCGGAGCAGCGCCGGAGCCTCGCCGGCCATGCCACTTGCCACGCCGATGGCGGCCGCAAGAAGACTTCAGAGGACTCCGGGGAGTCGCGACGCCGACGCTCCGGGCCCCGCTGCCTCTGCCGGGGCGGAGAAGCCGCAGACGCCGCGGAGCCTTCGCGGTGCCGAAGGTCTTGCCAGGTCGACGCGGAAGTCTGAGCTGGGGTCCCCGGTTGAGCCGATTGTGAAAAGTTTCGTGTCTGATGACTGTGATGCCTGGATGTCGGAGCCCTTCAGCGCGCTCCTCGAGGCCGAAGACGTCAGCCAAAAGATCAAGAGCCTCGCCGCGGATTTGCGGGGGGTCGAAGCGGTCAGCAGCTGCGTCGTCTGGCCGCCCAAGAAGAAAATCAAAGGGTTGTATCTCAGGCTGCGCAAAGTCAGCAGAGAGCACAAGCAGGCCTTGGCCGAGAACATCCACGACAGGTTCAGCGCTGGAGACCTGCGCCTCTTGAGTCGCAGTCGCCCTCGGAGACGGCGCACTTGGGGCGGTCCAACATGTCGATGGGCGCTGGCGGTGGACCTTCCAGGACATCGACTCCGAGGTCGCGGGCGACTGGTGCGACTCGGAGGCCGCGGCGACGGATGAGCTGAATGCGACTCAACGGCTTCTCTTCCCGCCAGATTTGCCGATGAAGATGCGGTTCGATCGCGGGCTTCGCGCCGAGCACCTGCAGCGCGTCACGCTCGGTGCCCAGAAGCAACGGCCGAGCGGCGACGCCTCAACCGTCGGCAGGCAGGAACAAGGGCTGCATTCCCGTCTTCTTTATCCCCATAGCCGCAGCAGCCTGTCGAACCTTTTCCCGGGCTTCTACAACCAGGGGAACACGTGCCTCAGATCTGCATTCATCGAGATCTTCCTATGCGGCGGCCTGTGGAATTACTGGGGCACATATGAGGGAGCTTTTCGAGAGGTACATCGCGTCGGGACCTTCCACGATGGCCATTCTGGGACGCTCTGATATTGGTCCATTCGTGGAGTTTGCGCAAAGACAGATGGACTTCGCACCCTTACAACAACAGGATGCCGCGGAGTGCGTGGAGCAGCTTCTGCTCGTCACCTGCTCGGGGATGTGCTACTGCGACAGCGAGCCGATGATCCCCGACTCCCACCTCGCGCTCACCGCGGTGCCAGACGTTGCCCAGGTCAGCGCGGCAGCCGCGCCCGTAGACGCACATACCCCTTTGCTCACTGCCGCGTCTGGTGATGGGGCGCTCCGCGTCGGCTCGCAGGCGCTGGTAGTTCGCGTTGAGAACGCGTGCGAGCAGGGGGGCGAACATTTCTGGGTGGACGCGAGGATGAAATGGCCCCCTGGCCCCCTGACGCTGACGTTCGACAACGCTAGCGAGGAGAGCGTAGAGTACGATGTGCAGGGCTACATCGTCAATGTTCACAAGGGATCAGAGGCTCCCCAAGGCATGCGCTCGGGCCACTACATCGCCTACTTCAAGCACAGAAGCGCGTGGCATTTGGCCGACGATGCGAAGGTGACGGAGCGCAGTGCGGCGCCCACGTACTTCCCGCACATCGTGTTCCTGGCGCGCCGCGACCGACGTCCATCAGAACATGTTCAGAAATTGCAGGAGCGGGCGCAGGGGGTGAAGAGGCTCCGGACGGAGGCGCCAAGGCCACTTGCGACGCCCAGTGCTGACCAGCTGATGCCGCCTGCGCCGAGCGATCGAACGAGTCGACGCACCGCTGCGAAGAGCAAGCCTCCTCGAGACCGCCCACGGCGAGACCAGTCAGGGCGAGACCGCTCAGGGCAAGACCAGTCAGGGCGAGACCAGTCAGGGCGTGACCAGTCAGGGCGAGACTAGTCAGGGCGAGACCAGTCAGGGCGAGACCAGTCACAGCGAGACCGGTCAGGGCTAGACCGGTCGGGGCGAGGTCCTGAGGTCACGGAGAGAGCGCACCGCGCATGGGGCAACAGCGGCAACTCCGACAACAGAGACCACTCCAGGACCGACGACTACAACAACATGGACCACCCGTACAAACGCTTCTGCGATAATTATGGGAAGTACCGCAAGTGCTCCGAGGTGAATGTCCGCCAGTGGAGGGCGCGAGCTGAGCCGTCCGGCCCACTGCAGTGCATGCTTTGCCCCTGCGGCACTGATTTTGCGTTTCGGGAAGAGTTCAAGAAGCACGTGGGCGAGGAGCACGGTGGCGCGCAGCGGTACCGCAACGCGTATCTGGCGCACATGCAGCTGGCTCCTCACGTCGTCTCCGGCCAGGAGTGGCGCGCAATCGTCGCCAATTTCGCAGAGTTCTTCGGCCGATCTGCAACCGACTGGGAGAAGCCTACCGATGAGATGGAGGCGAAGCTGCGGAGCGAGGAGGGCCTGCGCCCGGAAGTGCGCTGGCAACGACGCCACTTGCAGGCGTGCGCGTTCTGCGCCCGGTCCCACTGGGTGGAGGAGCTCCACAGCGAATTCCTTGCTGGTCAGGACTGCTTCATGGATGATCCGAACGCGGTCTGGAAGCTGCTGGACGTCGAGGTCTACCACCAGAGGTGGCCGAATATCCCCCTGGAAGAGCTGGGGAGCTCAGCCGTCATCGTCGCTGCGTCCGGAACCACCCATGAGAACGGGAAGACTGAGTACAAGGTGTTCTTGCACAAGCATCGCGTCAGCCCGGAACAGGCAGCTGGCAGAGCGAGTGTCTACGTCTGCTCTGAGTGCAAATGGGCATTCGGAGGCCCTCGCCCGTTCCTCTGCAAGCATGCTCTCGCGAACGACATGTGGCTTGGCCGGTGGGGCCCACTCTTCCGCGATGCAGACAAGTGCCCGTTGTCTTACCAGATGCTCCTGGCCCTCGCGCGCGTGGTTTCCACCAAGATTGTGCTGCGCCCAGATGGGAGCAAGAACGAGACCTCCGACAGCACAGCGAACTGGGACTTCCTTTCCCGCCAGAGCGGCATCGTCGGCACGGCGTTGCTCTTCCAGAACGCCGACTGCAAATGGGCACTTGAGCATTGGCCAGATAAGAAGCTCCACGAGTCATTCTCCGTCGCCTTCGTCGCCGACCCCGCGGCGGGAGACCGCCGAGAGCAGGCCAGGAAGTGCGTCTCCAAGATTGCTCAACTCATGGTGGACAGGCGCGCGTTCGAGACTCAGGCAGATGCATTGGCCAATGCAAAAATTGTCTACTCGACAATAACATATGACAAAGAGCTCGTTGCATAATGGGTTCCCGACGAAAGCGAGCCCGTTGTCCCACGCGTTATCATGGATGCCGTCGTCGGAATTCCGCTGGAGGAGTCGCCCGGGCAGGTCGTGGCCGAGGGGCCGGCCGACGCCGCGGCTGCGGGGGAGGATGACCGAATGGGCGCAGACATTGCTGCTGCGCGAGAGGCTCGCTACATCGTGGCTTTCGAACCGCAGACGAAGGACTTCAGCCACGACAAAAACAATGGCTCCATGCAGATCACGGCGCTGATGCAACAGCTCGAGGAGCTTGATATTGCAGCGCAGCGCTCTTTGGCCGCCGAGGTCGAGTCCGCGTTGGAGGCAGGCATGGTTTGCGGCGGCGAAGGAGGAGGCCTGGTCGACCACGCGGGCCGCGAGCGCATCCCAGACATATGCCAACAGGTCCGGGATACTTGTAAAAACTCTGGTCCTGCAGAAAAACAACGGAAGATGCAGTTGGAGCTACCATGAGCTGCCATGGGCGAGCAGGATTGGCAGCTGCATTCGGAACCATCAGACGCCGTGGGCACCAGCTCTGGAACCGTTCCACGTTTGGTGATCCCCAAGGGGCCTACTCCTCTGTCCTACTGGGACTGGAAGATTTGGACGATGGTGAGGCCGAGTCTCTGGCGCTTCGGGGACGCGGCCAACCTGCATCCTCACCGAATAAAGCCACTCACGCTCAACGAGTGGATGCGCTGCCTGCTCGCGCGGGAAGAGATGGAGCACGACTTGCCCGGGGAAGAGCCGGGGGCCTTCAGGGTTTGCGACCGCAAGTCTCAGGCGGAAATCAATCGCTTCGCCAGCGACTTGGTTACGCTGCACTTCTTTTCGTCCATCAGGGTGCTGGCGGCACAGCAGGGGTCGACGCGTGCCTTTCTGAAGAACGGAGGAATCGCGTGGGCGCAGAAGGTTCGGAAGTTGACATCTCAGCAGTTGGCGGATGCAGCCAGGCTGGGCGCTTGCTCAGCATGAAAGCACGCGCGCGCATGCTCAGCATGAAAGCACGCCGCAGATCATGCGCGACGCGCTGAACATAATGCAGATGGCCTCGGCGCGCGCCCTTGGCACAGGCGGCCATCGTCGGCTCTGCCGTCACGGGGGCAACGCCTGCACCACTCTCTTCGGCCCGCCGCTGGAGTTCTGCGCGCCGAATCTCGCGGGCGGAAAGCAGCCCTGCCTCCTGGCCATGCATAACCAGAAGTTTCATCTGGACGGCGCGCGGGATGTCGACGGAACTTGCCCCAGGTACCGGGAGATGCTGCCGCGCTTGGCCAAGGATCCAGTCGGGCAGACCCGCGTGTTCCACCTCATGATGCTCCTGTTCTTTCAGCACGTGCTGGGGGTGCGCCCAGAATGCATCGAGGGCAGGCGCGGCTCGAGGCGATCGAATCCGCGCGATTGGTGCACCGATGGCGCCGCGGCGTCTGCGTGCGCACCGGGCATCTTTGGTCCTGTTCTCGCATTCCGAGGAGAGATCGAGGCTCAGGGTAGAAGTTCTCTGCATCCGCACATCCTCGTCTGGCTCGTGCTGCTGTCCGTGGCCGAGGTAGTCGACATTCTACGTCGAGACACGGAGGAGAACTTCCAGCGGAATCGCTACAACTGGATGAAGGCGACGGTGGCCGCCGCGGAGTCCATCAGCCAGAGCTCCGTGCGTTCAATCAAACGACGCTTCGGAAACCTCCAGACCACGGACGTTCCGCCGCTGGGTTTTAGTGCCACGGATCAGAGGCTGAGTTGTTATGATGGGGAATCCGAGCTGAAAGAGTTGGAGAAAGTCCCGGAAGATGACCGCGCGCCCGCGCAGACCAAGGCGCTGAATGAGTATGACGCGCAAATGTGGTGCCGCCCGCGCCTTCCCTTAAGGCGGCCCGACGGGGAAGTCTTCTCGCTGGGCGACGCCGGCGACGCCCCGCGACAGTCAGTCTACGGGATGCCCATCTCGAGCTTCGCCGTCGGTAAGTGTCCGTCGCGCAGGCGCCGAGCCTCCCTCGGGGCGTCCGAGCGCGAGCCTCCCGAAAGCCAGTCTGGACGGAGCGCCGCCGCGGCGCCATCGGCCGAGGCGGCAGCCGCCGAGGATGCCGGCGCGGATGAGTGGGGAACCTCCTTCGCCAACGACGCGAGGTCGTTGGCCACGGAGATCTTCGTCCACATCTGCGGCGATTCGCGCCGTAAGTACCCGGGCCCAAAGAAAGTCCAGCAGATCTGCCGCCACGGCTTCTACTACATAGAGGTGCTGGGCGATTGGGGGCAGCGAAAAGAGGGGATCTCCTTCCGACGCCGGGGCAAGGCTCTACGCAACCAGATTTTCATCGTCAAGGCCACGAAGCACGGAATGCAGGGCAGGCTGCTGATGCTTCAGGAACACCCTGTCGAGGTGCAGACGAACTACGCGGGGGCCGCATGTATCCGCTGCAACCTTGACGCCCAGAGCCTACGTCGAGTTCCCCCTGAGAGCCTCTGGAAGAACGGAGAGGGGCCGTGCCCGCACCTGCCGCCGGGCGACAAGGAGACGTTCGGGCACATGGGAACATGCGAGTGGGATGGCGAAGAGTACGCATGGAGGACAAGCGTTGGCGACGATTGCCGCGACGGCGAGCAGTGGGCCGACGGCAACTCGCGCAAGGACTGGCGCCGAGCTTTTCTTCAGGCCTTCGCGAGCCAAGGGGGAATTCGTTCTCCGGCAGGCACTGTGGCGGCGAGCATCGCGACGCCCCCGGCGACCCCGATGACCATGCCTGCGAGTGCCTGCGCTGCGAGCGCACGCCGGCGTCAACGGCGGCCTTTGCCGACGCTATCAACACTGGCTTCTATGTTAACAGCTGCGCCACGAAGCAGCGCCCCACGATGGGCGGCGCCCTCGAGAACCTACGGAAGGGGATTGAGCGCCTGGAGAAGAAGAGAGAAGAGGATCGGAAGGAGCTCGAGAAGAGGCGCGCGAGGGGCGAGCCACTGGTCGGCGAGGCGGCAGCCAAGAGAGCGCACCTGGGGGACTCAGTGTTCAAGCAGACCATGCAGACCATCAATCGGCTGTCTTCTTCTTACCGACGCTGCTATTGGAAGAGCGGCCAGGAGATGATTTTCCCGATGCTCCACGGCCACGTGACTTTCGCGAGCCAGAGGTGCTGGGCCGTGTACGTGAAGAAGGGCGTGTTCCAGGCTGCAAATGCGCGGCGCAAGCGACACGGGTCGAGCGCGCGCCACACAGCGATCAAGGAGGGCGGGGGAGGAATCACCAAGCATTACCGAGAAAGGCTCGGGGGAGGGGCGCAGAAGAGGGGTGTGGGGAGAGGATTTGGATATATGTTTGCTTTTTTATATAAAAGTATAGTCTTTTGTCCTGTTCTAGTGACAGGATGTGGTTATGTAAGTGAACCTAGTTCCAAGACGCCATGATATATATATATATATATATATATATATATTCATTTTCGATTCCCTCCACAGGGCTGGATGCTTTCCCGCTGACGGGCTGGCGCTGGATAACAGTGGACAACCAGAAACTGTCGATGGATAAGCACGGGTCGAGGTGCGAAACGACGGCGGAGGCGCTCGATATAGAAAGAGACAAGATGGGCATAGTGGATGCCAAGGCGCAGCTTAATTTCCTCCAAAAGTTTCCGGTTGAAACCTGCTCGGAACCCGTCGAGAAGGAGAGCGAGGAGAGAAGGACGAGGGCGCCGGCGACAAGCCGTTGCGATCCCCGAAGGAGACGACAAGCCCTCTGCAGGATTACCTCTGGCGCGGCGATGATCCGGTGCTGAAAGAAATGCCCTGGTACGTATACAGCATGTGGGTGTTCCGCATCGGGAAACCCGAGAATAAATTCAAGAAAGACGGTGAGCCGGCGAAGCCGTGGCTGCGGTTCATCGACATTCCGTTCCACGAGGATTACCCATTGCACAATACGCACCTCCAGCGCATCGCGACCGAGTTTCGCGCCCCCCTCTTCGAGGGTTACCAGATGCCACCGAGCACGCGAGACAGTGAAACCGCGGCCATGTACAAATCTTTGCTCCTGCGCGACATCTCCATCAGCCCGGACAGTTCGTCAGGAGAGATTCCGAAGTCCAGGGCTGAGCGCGAGGTGGAGAGTTTCGCTCAGCTCTGCTTTGTGGAGGGCGCGGCAGAGGGTGGGAACCAGGCGTTCACGCGCTCGTGGCTGGCGCACTCGAAGAAGCAGGACGTCTGCGCCACCGGAGCAGCAAGGCGATTCCTGGACCGCAACGAATACATGAATTTGTGGGGGACGCAGGAGAGCATCGACAAGCTCAATGACATGTGGGAAACTGATGATAACAGAAACAGAGATGTCCCCGACCCTGCTGCGCCCGCGGACGTCGTAGATCCTGACGCCGAGAAACCTCGTACCACCGTCCTTCAGTACAGCGCCCTCATCGCACGAGGACTTCAAGCTAACCTCGAAGGATTGGCCAGAGCGCGCGTGGAGAAGCACAAGCGCCCTTGCCAGACCGACGCCGAGATTCACCAGTCCTACATCCTGGCTACAACTGGAGGCTCGGGAAGGCCTGAGGGCGAGCCACACGACGACGGCCCTCTGGCACCTCTGGAGCCCGTCGGAAATAAGGTATTCCCACCATTGCGGGGCTTTTTCAACGAGGAGGAGATGCAGAGGATCCTCGACTTCCAACACAGGCCTCGCCCGACGCCGTTCCTGAAGGGTCTGTTGGAACTTCCCCTCATGGACACTGAAACAGAGGTGGATGAGAGTCATCCCAGAGTGAGACAGTCCAGGGCAGACGCCGCCGTGTGGCGGCGCAAGGCAAGCAGGGACTGCCGACTGCATCTTTTGCGAAAGACGAAGCTTACACGACACCGAGCGCTTTCATTCGACATCTCATATCCCAGCTGCCTCCCGCCCAGCGTCTCACTCGGCGGCAGACGCTCTTCATGGCACTGTTTGCGGAGGCCTGTGACAAAGCCTGGAGCGAGGACAACGAGTTGCCGCCCGAGGACCGCAAGACCACCCACCTGCTGCTCCTTGGCGCTGGCGGCACCGGAAAAAACACATGTGGTGCAGAAGCTGGGGTTCAAGGCAGCGGAATACATCTGGCCCAACGAGACTCCCGACTCTCCACCGACGTTGGTGGTGGCCTCGTCAAATGCGCAGGCGAAGAATATCTCTACCGCCGAGTGGAAGGGGTGGACTCTACACAACGCTGCAGGCATGCGCATTCAGGAGATGGTCAACGCGAAGATGCGACCGGGCGACAAGGCGAAAGCTCTCGAGGAGAGGTGGAGGAACGTGCGAGTGCTCATCATCGAAGAGGTAAGCATGGTGTCCGCCGCCAGCTACAACATGCTCGATTTTCGTGCCATGTATGGGCGCACGAAAACCGACTCGGTCACGGAGAGCAATTACACGAAACCAAATTGCAGTTTTGGTAGATGCCCCATCGTTATCCACCTGGGCGATTTCCTGCAGTTGACACCGACTGCGCAGCTCAGCCTGGTGACGGGCGTCAGGGCAAAGGACAAGAACGGCGACTACGTGCTCAAGGAGCCGCCCAGCCTTGAGATTCAGAATGCCTTCAGGGTTTTCGAAAAGATCACCAGCGTCATCGAACTCCTCGGAACCAAACGCTTCAAGCCCGGCGATCCCCTCATCAAGTTCCTCGAGTGCATGCGAGAGGGCAAGCGGATCCCTGACCACGTGTGGCAAGCGTTCGAGGTGACCTTCGCCAAAGACAGCCATCCCGATGCGGAGCCCGAGCTGGACCCGCGGCGCGCAGAACCGAAATTCCTCGAGGGGAACGGCCTGGCCATGTACTGGGAACCTCTTGCGCGCTGGATCACCAAGAGAGCACGGCGCGACGCCCGCGTGCTCAGGGTACCGCTGATCTTCCTGCAGGCAGCCGACGAGTGCCAGACCAATCGCGTCACTGAAAAGGAGACGTACTCCAGAATGTTCAACGTTGCCAACATCTACCGCACGGGCCGCATCCACGGCGTACTCCCCGCCCACGAGGGGATGCGAGTTCGTTTCGCAGGTAAGTTTAATAGTGCCCACGGCCTCGCCCAGGAGCAGCGCGCCACCATCGTTGACTTCGTGTTTGGTGAGGAAGACCAGAGAAACTACAATGACTACAAGAGAATCCGCCCAGGACAGATCTTCAGACCGAGCCATGTCCCGACGGGCATCTGGCTGCAGGTGGACGGCTTCAAGCATTCCCCTACGTGGGAGGAGCTCATGAGGTACATCGACGCTGATGACGAGGATGCACGAGAGAAGCTGGCTCGGGGCCTCTTCTGCATGCCCCTCATGGAGACCACCTTCACCTGGGAGGCGTCGTCGGTTGCGCACAACGCGAGGCGCTTCGGATTCATGCTGACATACGCCTTCTACCTCACGACGACGGCCTCGCAGGGGCAGACACTGCGCGGCGCAGTGACCAGCGACTGCGCCCGACAGGAATCCCAGGGACAGCGCGGCACTGACGACGATGCATGGTGGCTGAATCTTTATGTGATGTTCTCCCGCACGACGCAGATGGCCGACGCGCTGCTGCTCCGACCGCCTCCCCGGCGTCTGCTGGAAGGAGGCCCCCCCCAAGGCCATCCCGAAAGCCCTGAAACGTTTCAACAAAACAGAATCATCAACGGTGGAGAGAGCTGTTGCGCTTGCTCGGGAGTGCAAGATCTTGTTCCCGGAGGATGAGTAGCCGCTATAGTCCAACGTGGCCCGAAGCCAAGTGCGGGCGGTTCAGTGGGGGATGCTCTCATGTCGTTTCTCAGTGCTCATGGCATTTCTTGTCGAGCCCATCGCGTGAGCGGGCGCAAGTTGTTCTTTGTGTCTTACAATTCTCCTCCCTCCTAGCTGCGCCCAGTTAACAGTCGCCTGACCTTTTCGGCCTGATGCCCAGTGCGGACGGCCCCGCCCCCTGCACTCTTCTATGTCGGAGTGGCCCTGCCGGAAGAGAAGTAGCCGCTGCTGAGACCCAGAGCCAAGTGTGGACGGTCCTGTAAAATATATCCCGATCCGATTGCTCAGTTCCGTGGGTGCAGTTGGCACGTGGCGCCGAGACAAACAACATTTGCCATTACTCATCATCGCCAGGTCAGAGCATCGCACGGGAATTGCGGATAGCAGGATGCGGAGGAACGAGCGCAGCATATAGGGGTCATCGCTGTCAGTTTTGGGACCAGCCCAGGTTGTCATGGAGCGTTTATTCGCACTTCCGCTTGCATTTTAGGTAGTCGCGTAAGCTCGGATGTTATTGGGCTATGTGATAGTGACCGCGAGAGCGCCCTAACGGACGACAGGCCGTCCGTCCCAAGGGACGGCTTCCCTGATTTCTTTTTGCATTCGATTCCAGTGGTAGCGGATGCAGAGCGCCCTGCCGTTGTATTAATGCCGTTGTCATTTGTCGTTGCTGCCATGGTGGTCCGAAATTGTTTTCGAGTGCTGGCTTGAATGCGACGTCCGCTTGTGGAAAGGACCGCACTGTCCTTCTTAAGAGCGACGGTGCAGCAGTCGATTGTGGAGCACACTGGTACTTCGAAAACAGGTGGCGTCGACACTTGGGCTTCGAACGCAGTGCCCTTAAGTTTGGGCAACACCTCATTCCAGGTTTGCCCCCGGGATTAATCTACACACAAGTTGCAGTAGGCCATACTCGTACTGTGTTGCTCAGAAGCGACGGCACTGTTGTGACTTGCGGGTGTGATCCAGACAACCAACGAGCTATCCCAGCGTTGGGCGCAGGCTTGCGATACGTCCACGTCGCGGCAGGCAATGACAGCACAGTGGTTCTGAGAAGCGACGGCGTGGCAGTAGCCCACTGTTTCTTTCGCAGGTGTAGTTGGCATATCTTGACACCGCCGCGGCAAGGGGCAGGCTACGTGGAAGCTGCTCTTGGAAACATGCACTTGGCATTGCTTAGGAGCGACGGTCAGGGTATTGCAGACGGCGACAATGTGCACAAACAGTGTGACATTCCAAGCATTGGCCCAACTGTTCATTACACGCAGGTTGCCGCGGGTGAGAACCATGCAATCCTGCTCGCGAGCGACGGCCACGTCGTTGCATGCGGAGACAATGGGCTTCGTCAGTGTGAGATTCCTCCATTGAGCCGAGGATTGCGCTACACGCATGTATCCGCTGGGGGGGCGCATAGTGCATTGCTCCGGAGCGACGGCATTGCCGTCGTCTTTGGTGATTTGTGGAAGTTTTGGTTGGAGCGCGAGTGGCATCG